GCAGCTTCTTCGAGGACCTCAGCAAGGTGAGGGCGCTGCGGGCTCCGCGTCGGGAGGGGCGATGGGCAGCGGGTGAGGAAGCCAGGGGCTGGGTCGGTGGCCAACGGGAATGGAGGCCCAGCCCGGCACCCCTCCCGCAGACCCCAGGTCCCGGCACCTACCACGTGGTGAACCCCGGCATCTACAAGTCTCGGGTGATCCGGGGCCCCGGGGCCAAGGGTCAGACCCGGGGGATGAGAGTCCGGGTCCAGGACGGAGGGTCCGAGGCCCGAGGTGTGGGACCGGGGCCGGGGTGGGGGTAAAGGGGAGACAGGACGGGGACCCTGGCGCGGAGCTGCAGGGCCGGCCTGCGAGGCCAGCGGCGTCTCCTGGGCCCCCAGCACCGGAAGCCCGGCGGCTGGAGCTTCGGGCGAGCTTCCTGCCCGGGTGCCAAGCTTGCAGTTTGGACCGTAGTCAGGGCACCTACAAGTCAGCCAATGAGTGCATCGATAAGTAAAATAACTACTTTATGTTTCTCTTTTCCTCTCTAAAATCCAATAAAAAAAATATCCTCGGGTGAGGATTGAAAATAAAAAAAAACTGGGGGGATGGGGGGTCATGTGAGGATAAGGACACGTATGTAATAACTTAATCAATGAAAATTTAAAAAATAAAAATAAAGAAACCGCCCTGGCCTGTGTGCTCAGTGGTTAGCGCACCGAAGGGTCCGGGGGTCGCGGGTTAGACGCTGGTCCGGGCAGGTCCCTGAGTTGCGGGATTCTCCCCACCCCCTCCCTCCCTCCCTCCCACTCTCTCTGAAAAACAATGGAAAAGATATCATGTGAGGATTAACAAAAAACACGTAGTCAGTAATTTTTGAAAAACACATCATCCCGCCTCCTCGAGGCGGCGATTGGCCCAGAGTCCTATCCGTATGAGGCTCCGCCCACCTGCCGTCTAGGGCAACCAGTGACCAACGGGTCCGCCCCTCCCTGTGGGGAACTGCCCCTGCCTGTCGGGAACTGCCCCTCCCTGTCCGCGCGGAGTCTAAGTTCCTGGAGGGACAGGGCGGAGGCCGGCAGGAACCGAAGCAGGAAAGGCGAGGGCCGCTGTCCGGAACAGGTAGGAGCCGGGGTCCCGTTATGAGGCTGAGACGTGGGAGCTGGACCCAGAGACACGCACGTGGGCAACACAGACCAGGCGGCGGCGGGCGGGGCGGACAGGAGGAAGGAACCGGCGGGGACGAGCGCACCTGGCTGCTCCGATGAACACAGGGCGGGGCGGGTCCCAGGTGTGTCTCCCACCCCGCAGGCTCGGAGCAATGGCGACCCCGGGAGCCCCAGTGGGTGGCGTCTCGTCCGGAGGGCCCCAGTGCCCTTCTGACCCAGCGCTGGAGCCCAAGCAGCTCCCGGAGCTGATCCGCCTGAAGCGAGACGGAGTCCGCCTGAGCGAGCGAGACATTCAGAGTTTCGTGCGCGCCGCGGTGGACGGGAGCGCGCAGGGCGCACAGAT